ATGCGCAGTGAGGTCGAGTATGCGGTGTTTGGAGCGCTCATGTGCGCCAACCTCGGGCTCGGACTCTACTTCTCCTGCGCGCGGCGGGTGCGCAAGGAGGCCACCACCGATGAAATGTTCTTGGGCAGCCGGAGCCTCCGTACCCTTCCGCTCGCTGGCTCCGTGCTCGCGTCAATGCTTTCTGCCATCGGTGTTATCGGCTTCAGCGCTCATTACTACGCCTATGGCTTCCATTATCTCTGGAACTTCATGTCGGCTCCGCTCATCGCCATAATCGTTTCCAAAATGGTCATACCTGTCCTGTACCAGCTTCAGGTTACATCCGTGTTCGAGGTGAGTATGTTAACTTGGTATCAAAGATCTGCGCAGCACCAACATTTATAATGGGTCGTGGCATTTTGTTTAGATTAAGCGAGCCTCAGGTTTTGACATATTGCAAGAAAGTGTGCTGCCGCCCGAATGTGCTGTAGTTCCTATACTACATAACGTCCATAAAAAATTGCGAGGTGATGTGCACAAAATCTGTCTGAAAGTTGCAGCTCTTTTGTTTTGTTTTTTACTTCCGGGTAAAGATATTATTTGTCTTTTTACCCGCGCGAATGTCCGTGTACAGCGTAAACATTGACTAATTAGCACTTTTTGTATGAAGAGTTGATGTACCCGAGTTATCAAAAGCTAAAAAATTTTAAGAACTCTGTGTAATTCGTGAGTCGAGTTTCCTCAAGAATCAATTTGACGCTGAAATTTGTCGCTTTCTTACGAGCTGATTTTAGCGTACGACCTGCTTCATGAACGCCAGCTGTTGTAATCGATGCAATATAAGATCAGTGGCTGAGTGGATGCCGGGGGCAAAAGTACTCGTAAAACGTCTACGAACATTTTTGCTCCTGGAAAATGAGTTACTTCGTCGATTAAGAATGTGACTGAAGTGTGCTGTCTAGAAATCATTAATGCACTGTTGATTCTTAGCACCGTGCTCATTCTTATATCCCAGATTACACGTCATGACCAAATCAAGCTTTTCTTCCTGATTTAGTTTGCACACAACATATATTCTGCATCTTGCATGAACGTACTCACCAGATTGATGAGTTTCACGCTGTTCGCGTCACGTAGTATTGTGACTTATTCGGTTGAGAAAGCTTTGGTTGTCCTTCCTTTAAAAAAACTCGAAGCGGTAAAGAGCTTCCTTTAAAAAAAACTCGAAGCGTTAAAGAGCTCATTTCGCAAAAATTCGGGCGACGGCATCAGCGTAGACGTCATTAGTTGTGAGCGAATAATTAGCGCTTTCTGTGAGTGAATATTTGAGATAGACGGAAATAAGTAAGATGTCTTCGGTTAGAGTGAGAGTCGAACCTAACACTTCTGTATGGCCAGTAGATGGCCTATCGAACCACAGGTGGTCGAAATTTCCAGAGCCCTCCACTACAGCGTCTCTCACAATCATATCGTAGTTTTTGGACGTCAAACTCCACAAATCAATCAATCAATCAATCAATCAATCAATCAATAGTTGGCCTATCAATGGGCCACGCCGATGCTTCGACCTGCTTTGTAAAAGAAAACTATAAGAATGCCATGTTGTAGAAGCTGCCTCCTTGACGCATGTATAACTGCGCGGCAGTATCGCAGAATAGCACCAGGCGTCGAAACGTGTTAATTTCACAACAACGGGGTGGATTAAAGCTGCCCACCCATTACAAAGTGCGAAACTTCCCAGGTGTGGGTGGCATCTTACGGAAGTCTAGTGGGTACTTCGACAATTTCCGAAGGAAGTATTGTGGCGTAGCGGGAACTTCGTAAGTGTACCTGCAATTGACATTCTAGCATAGTGTGAAACGGCCAGTGTTATGCGCACAAACGTTCTTTTCCTTGTGGCACGGTCAAAGGCGATGCGAACGGGACCCATTAACGCTATCACGTTCTACTTTAGAAAGCAAAACTCAACCACCCTCCAAGTTTTTCTCCTTTTCATGTTAATGTGGTATTCGAAACTTCGCTATACCATGATGTTTCCTCATCTGACCTTTTTCCAACACACGAAATCTTCGGCAGCAATGGGGAATGCTGCGAAACTGATTAAACAAAAAGGCTGTCAAAGGCCGATGGCCATCGGCTGTTCAATGAGATACAAAAAAAGGGGGGGGGGGGGGCATCAAAGCTATTCTGGGGTTTATATAGTAAAAAAAAATTGCCAAAGGCGGTGATAAAAATTGCTCATTGGGCCTTCCTATGCGTTGCCCGATAGTGTAACATCTTCCAATGCGTACAGATTTGTTATTATTGGTAATATTACTGCTATTAAAATCTCTTACAACACAAATATGGGTTTCTTGTCCAGATAATTGCATAAATAGCGTCTGTGGCCTACTGTTGAATCGGATTTTCTGATTTTCAGTTTCCTCAGGTAGCTTAACTTCTTCGTTAGCACCGGCATCAACAAATCCCGTCAATATATATTTTTAGTGGAGTGATTGCGCTGGCATATATAAGGACTCGTCCATCATTGATTGGTCATTGGTTTTCGGCGAAAACAACAGTGATCAAGTTGATCGGTTCCTGAAGCTTAATTACACGAGTAAACACAAATTCATTCTATATACCCAGTGTTTCAATAACTGCGCTCGAGGAACCTAATAAATGAGAGAAATGGCGTATTTGCGTAATGTCTTATGATTACTGTTTCAGTGGCGGCATACACCTTGAAAATACTATGGACGTTACAACAGAGAGTTTATAAATTAGATGATTTAGCTTTTCAATTAGTTGAGGTGGGCAGTCAGCTCAAATACAAGAATTAAAGTCCTTGCGAAGTGCCCATTGTCAATTCGAGACTTCCACAAAGTAGTTTCTGGTAAATTGACAGTCAAATCGAAAACGAAGGCTCAATGAGAGCAACTGTACGACGACCCTAATGATGTCACTCTTCGTGAATATAACGGAAGTGGTGTTCGTTCTTCCTAATTCGTCAACCTTTGTGCGTCATTCGTGCTTTAATGGTAAGAGCACCCAGCCCACACGCCGATGAAGTGAAATAGAGCAGTGTAAAAATGCTCGCTAATTCTGGACGCCCTGAAGTAGCCTGGCTATAGTGCTCTTCCGTTCTGGTTTCGTAGTTGAAACTGGTCGACTACCAGTGCCCGCTTTTTTCAAAATCTTAAAGCGACAACTGTTTACTGGCAGGAAGAACTCCAACTCACCCATTTGACTGGACCACCTTCCTCCAATAACTGAAGGTTTGTTATCTCGACTTCTTCACAACTTGACCGACCTGGCCGATGTCTCCCGTCATGCTATCTTGTTATCTCTATCCGTACATCAAGAGTAACTGTGAACTCACCATGCAAACATCGCACTTCCTTTATGTTAACACGAAAGTATTTTATACCGGGATCCACCATGGCTCCATGACGTCTTTCCGTCGCAGATATGACATTGTCAAATATTTAATATGAGATTCCAAAGTTATAAATGAGATGAAAAAGTGCAGCTAGCGGGGTGTCGAACCAGTGGCCTTGCGCTCTTCAGCTCGTGGCGCTAACTATGCCACAAAGCGACCTTTCTGCAACATGTTAACGGTGAGCCATTTATATACACCATGTACCGCTGCTAGTCCTGAAAACTCTGCAACTTCAGCGCATTTCCGTCGTCAGTAGCGAGTTGGCCCGACGCGTGTGCGCTCTAAAGGTCGTCGTGCCGCGCCACCCAGTGCGTCGCCGTGAGCGCGTGCCTCCACATGGCATGGTCAAAATGTGTATAGATGATCTCTAGCGTGATGGCTCCCTCACACGCTCGCTTATGACGGGATTCCGGGTGCTTAGTACCTTTTGTGCTTCAGAGTAATTCTAAGAGAGAAAGGAAGAGAAAAGTGAGCCCCGTAACTGTCTGCTTCAGCGAGCGACACCTCAACAGTAGCTCACAAGGGATGGGGGTGAGGAGGGAAATAAAGGATAGGAATAAAGGTGTAGAGAGAGAGAAAGAGGCGTGAGGTGGTAAGCCAGAGAGCGACGACATATTGAGGGGATAGGAGAGATAGGAAAGATGGAAACACGGTCACAGGAGTCCGAGGACGGGGCACCACTTGCGAGAGCTCTTGTCGAGCGAGTCCCCTTTTGTGCTTCCACTGCAAGTTTACTTTATAGTTACAGATGTTCAAGAGAGTAAGAACGTCCTATCGCTCGGTACGACGGCTGCGTTTACGAAAGGAGCATGCTCCTCACACGTGAAGAAGTAAAAATTGCGACCGTTGTTTGCGCTCGTTTTGTGTGTGCTTACTTCGTGTGTGCTTTCTGCTTGAGGTTTGCGCTGCAAGTTTCGCGCTTCTTGCCATTCTTAGCGTGACATTGCAATTTGTTTCTGCCCCATTCACTCTTTCGTCCTTAAGGCGAAACAATGCACAATTAATTCGCACCTACCTCGGCAAGGACATGTTTCACTTTCTTTTTATACTGATTTCTACAAAGAGGTATCAACCAGATTTTTTAAAGGATTCTCAGACACGCTTCTTCAAACCCCCTGTATACACCGTAAATAAATTAGTTGATTGGTTTTCTTCTGAATTTACAACTTTGCTAAAGCACAGAGACACTGCAAGACTCCACATGCAGAAAACTTGTGACGCGATTGAGACTGCCGCTGGAACAGCGGGGCGCCATTTAATTGATTCGTAGCCTAGTTGTGGCCAAGTTGTGCGTCTAATCAGTGCAAGGAAGCGTTTCGTTTTTATTTTTTTAACTCTCTCGAAACATTTCAGTAAACGTAATCATGACTCATACGTTGCACAGCTGGAAAAAAGTGATTCTGACAGCGCTATCAAAGTTTTGGAAGCCTATCACCAAGCGCTACGGCACAACAGCATGGCGCTTTGCTTTACTGCTTTCCAGCAGTAGGTTATAGGTCTAAGATATCGCTGACTGCTTGTTAATCATTTATCATCCTTTTTATAAAGCCACAGGTTCCATCATCCGGAGACCACGACAGTTTCTACATGTAATACTATTTTTCTAGATGATACCACATCAGAGAGTCTGGTTCATGGGCTTATTTTAAGCCGGCCTTTTCATGTGACCTAGAGCTATTGCATACGAAGGTAAAACAGCAGCGAGCCTGTTTCGCAAACGCAGCTAGCAACTGTATTTGGCGGACAATCTGATGCTGAGGCCAATTTTCATATTTCATGACGCGGCCGCTGCCGTGGATCGGATTAATAGTATAGTTATTGCCAGTAAAGTTCATCGTTGGTTAGTGACACACCAAGCATGTCAACAGGCGACGCGCTACGCATGTCACTTGCAAAAACGGATTGACGATTTCCCGAATAGCTGCGGTTAGTA